CTTAAGCTTCCCCAGAGGAATCCATTTCTGTCATGCTTTAGAAGTCTGGTCTCTGAACTCACTGAGTTTCTCCAGCAAAGTTTCCTCCATTCCCTAGCCCAGGAGTGGGGTAAGGTGAAAGATTTAAACTTGAGTTCCTTGTTCTAGCCCCATACCCCATGAGTGCCCTCCATCTTTCCTACAGGTTCTAAATGTGCACTCTTCACTGGGACTCTGGAGAAGTGGTCCCAGCCTCTTTTATTGGCTGAAGGAGAGAGATTAGGAGACCTAGGTTCCAGGCTTTTCGTTTAGAATGTTAACCAGTCTCCTATTTTAGTTGGCTTTATTCTACAATAGCCAGTACCTCAAGCCTGAGATTTTCTGGAGATTCAGCTTGCTACACACACACACACACACACACACACACACACACACACAGACACACCCTGTAAGTTATTCAGGCCTATTAAGTCAGAATGATCCTTCTGTCCACTTCCATCTCCCAGAAAGGTTGAATTTCTTCTCCACAGACATGTTCCCTCTCATTCTCTCTGTTGTGAGTGTGCTCTTGTTATAATTCCCCATGTGGCTTTGGCGGGTTCCTGTGAAGGAGTGGAGATAGGCATACACTGTGCTGTTAGCACCAAGATGAATGCTTTCTACTTGGACTGCCCCAGAAATTCCGGTAATAAACTTGGGTAGACACAGATGTGTAGTTCCTGTGCTTTCAGGAAAGCAGGCAAGCCACCAGGATATGAATGGAATGGTCTCTGTGTGGACATGGCAGCTTCCCTAGACACAGCAGAGATTACCACTCAGCATCAGCACCATCTGAGCATTGAGTTCACCACTGAGCAGGGTCTAAACTACCAACAACCCTAGTGCTGGACCCAAGTGTGGCAGATGTGAGGTAGGCTATTAGAGAATGGAGATCATGCCCCATTGTTTTCACAACCCCCAAAAGTCCTGTTACAGGTTTGGTATGTATGTATGCCAACATAATCATTTCTGTTTTTACAAGCCTTCTGGTACCCCAAGATCATAACACTGTAGCAATTAGGGCCTGGAACCACACTGCAATAGGTCATTCATGAATGCCTACTTGCCAAATTCAAGGTAGCATCATGCAGACACCCAGACCCCAACATGGCAGGTCATACACCTCCTTTTTTGAAGATTCTCATGACCATCAGTTGAGTTATGCCAATAATAACTTGATTTCCTTCCCTCACTCCCCTCCTCAGCTCCTGCCCTTACTATCCCTACACACACACACACACACACACACACACACACATGCTTGCACTCCCCCACACACATTCTTACACTCAAATACATGCACACACACTCTCATACTTACACACATGCATATACACTCTCACATTCACACATACATGCACACACTCACAGACATGTGCACATACACACTTGCACTCACACACTCTTACACTCAAATACATGTAACAGATGCACACACACACACACACACACACACACACACACACACACCTTCTGTATTGAGAATTAGGAAGAAGCTGGAGATCTCAATCCTCCTTAAGGAACAGTCGCTTACATCAACTGTTTTAATAGGGCTTAGGTTCTTAGAGATCCCTTTAATGGACACTGGTTTACATAAACTGTTTGCATTTAGATCTCTTTTTAAACAGATGTCAATTATTTAAAGTATCAATAAAACACTTGAGGTTTAAATAGGCTTAAATCACACTCTGGGGCCCAGTGGGCAGCTTAGTGCCCTCTCCTCTGTCAGTGCAATTGTGTAGTTCATTTTCTGTCTTGGATGCTGCTGAGCAGCTTGTCATAGTCAACACTCAGGACAGGGATTGAGCTGCTCCAGAAAGGCTATGCTAGGTCATATGACAAAGTGGGTACTAGAGCTCAAAGTCAAGTTTTCTACTCAGGCCAGGCAATTGACCAGAGCCCCAGGTCTGCCCAGGTCGTGGAGGAGGCACTGGATGGTCTGCCACTACATCTCACTTGTTCACTTGCCTTTGTGGCCAGACAGTGCCTGATAGAGCAGCTAACAATGGCATAAAAACACAAATCTCCCTTCCCTCTCAGAAGAACCCAGCCTGAACTTTAAGGTTAAACCCCTAGGAGACATGCTGGTGAAGATGGGTTCTTGGTGCTCTTGGAGTTGGCTTGTAGGACACTGGAGAACCCCACCAGAGCTGAACCCCATTCCAAGAATGAGCTCTGGGGGTGCCATAGGTGTCTACGACCACATCAACACTGAACTGGATGAACCAAACCACAGGCCTCAGTCTGAATATCCAGAAAGCTACATGACTTATGTCCTGTGGAGAGATAGTGAGAAGGCCTGGGGAGGCTGAGCCAACAGGGTGGCACCCTAGACAAGGCTTTCTTGACATCCTACAGCAGCGGTCCCTAAATGTAGCGGTCCCATTGCAATTACTTGTGAGCTTTTTGAAAACCCCAGTTTCCAGGCTGTACCCCACAGCAACTGAATGAGAATCTCTGAGACACCAGTGCCTGTCTAGGCTCCCCCAGCAGTTCTGGGGCATAGGCAATCGAGCCAACAGCCCAGAGTCAGCCCCATTCCTATCCTAATTTATGGTAGCCAGCTGTGTGAGTCAGAAACATAGATGTCTCCCCTGTGGTCCAAGCATGACTAACTTCTCTAGGGGGTCACCTTTATATAGAAGACAGCATGCCTGGTGATCCTCAGGTTATATGAAGCTATGGCCCTGTGTGACCTTGCCACCTTCAGAGTCCCTACCTATCCTTACCCCTCTTTCACTGCCCGCTTCAAGCCCATCCATCACTCAGCTGGACAATCACAACTGTCTCCTGGCTGTTTCTTCTATGACTCCAGTCCCTGCTCTGGGTCAGGTGACCTAAACGACAAGTCTATTCCCGTTGCTTCTCTGCTTAAACTCATTAACTGTACTCTATTGTCTTCCAAGTAATATGTGAACCCCCCCCCCCCCCCCCCCCCCGCTCAGCAATGAAGATTCCTCTCTCTTCCAGGGTTTCACCTCCCAGCTCCTACTCTCTGACCCCGCCCTTCCCCCTGCTACCTGCTCTTTCATTCCTCTGTTCTCTCCTTTGCTTCCAGGCAAACATAGCCTTTGAGCTCCAGCTCAAAGGCAAGACCTCTCAATAGCTTTGCAGGCCCTGCTGGGCCTGGAGGGTTTACCTCCTGCCTCCCGGCCACCCCCAACCCCCAGCTCTGCCTTTATTCCCATACATCTTACGCTTCTGCCTTTAGCCACTCTCCAGTGCCAGACGACCTTTATTTGTAGACCATGGAAAACCAAACAAAAAAAGCAACTGCCAGGTGCTCAGAGCAGACCCCCTGGATCAACTGCTTCACAACTGTTCTGAACTCTGGGCTGGCTCCCCCATGTCCCGACCTGTCAGGTTTGGTTTGTCGCCTATGGATGCCAATTAGAAGCTCTAGGTTGTCCGCCTTGAGCATGGATTGCTGACTCTGGAAACTTGGCATGCCTCCCTTAAGCCTGGCCTGCAGGGACAGGACACATGGTCCCCCTGCAGAAAAAGGAATCCAATACCTTCTTGTGCACATTTTTTGAAGCAATGAGATGGACCTCACCTTTAGAACGCAAATGCCGAGTGCCACGCTGTAGTAACTTTTCTTGTTACATGACCATATACCTGGCAGAAGCAACTTAAGGGAAGAAGGGTGTGTGTGTGGCTCCTGATGCACTACCAGAGGTATACTGTCACTTACGGTGGGAAGGGCATGGCAGTGTACGTGGGGGCTGGAGTTATGTCTGAGGCGCCTCACATCTTGATGGCCCAGGAAACAGATGGGGCAAGAATCAGGACTATGGTATAGCAGTCCAGGTCTTAGGCTCCATAGCCTAAGGGTTCTGCAACCTCCCAAAACAGTGCCACCACTGTCCATTAAGTGTTAAATACCCATGAGCCCTTGGTAGATGTCTCACCATCAGCCCATAGTATACATAAGCCTAGACCTGGCCTTTAGAGGGTATTCATTAAATGTTTATCAAATGGGTGGCAAGTTGGCTTAGGGAAGGTATGTATTAATAGATAAATGGCATTTCCTTTAAACTCCCTTGAGTTCCTCTGACCCCTCCTTTCCAGAGGGCACATCCCTTATACCCTTAGATATTTCTTCTGGTGTCCAGTGCTGAACAGCCCAGGCAGCACTTGATTAACGCCTGAGTTCTAACTAGATTGTTTGCATCCATCATCATCTTTCCCTGGAGTCGGAGAATCTGCTGCTCTAATACGCCCAAGCTCCCAGCTTAGTGATGGTGTTCAGTAAGTGCCCAATGAATGGAGACTGTTAAGACAGCTCCTGGACAGGACAGGGAAGCTCTCCCTCCTTGAAGAAGAATGGCTGTCCTTTCTCTATAATGTTCAGCCTCTGCAGAGATGGTTTGGCATCTGTTTCTCAATCTGGGATAACTGTTCTGGATCAAGGAGTCCCATTAAAAAGCCTCTCGGAGCACTTAGGGAATTATGCTTGGGGAGCCTTGCTTGGCAGCAGATAATAAATCAATCACAGTTCATTGAAAATGCCGAGATAGACCAGGATCTCTCAGGCCAAGCTAAGAAGGGAGCCAGAGACACCATTTCCCATGAGGCCCAAACTCTGCACCTCTCCTGCCGACTTGGGTTTTATACTTTCAGTGACTTGCTGACCTCGTTTGTCCTGTAGATCTGCATCCTGGCAAAGCCCTCAGTCCCAGCTGACAGGGGCAGGGAGGGGGGACACCCCAGCCTGGTGCCCTTTCTTCCTTTGCTTGTCAGCTCCTCGACACAATGCATGAAACCTGTCTGAGCCTCCATGTGAGAGAGGTCTGCACCCACTTCCATGTATCCTTCCAGCGCTGGCTTTCATAGCAGGGTTTTAGGTGGAGATCAGGCAAAGAATAGGGGGCTCCTGCAGTTGATCCTAGGGGATGGTTAGGTATCCTGCTACTTGCATAGCCCAGCTCTCATCTTCCAAATACAGAAAAAGCACAGCAAGGAAAGAAAAGCAAATGTACCTGAAGGAGAGAAACATTGGCAAGGCTGAGTCTGAAGAGGTAGTTCCTGTGAAAACAGAACAGAAATCACAAGTCACTCTGACTCTGTGGGTAGGACCCTGGAAGGCAACCCCTAGCCCAGTTCTCAAGGGGTGCATGGACTTAGGGTAAGCCAACCCCGAGAAAGAGCTTCACCTTGGTTAGTCCATTGAACCTTCACCCAGCCTGGCAGTAGCTATAAGAAATTCCATTTTACAGGAGGCAGGATGTGTAATGGCCCAAGTCATGGAGATGGAGTTGGGAGTAACCTACAGACTTCATGCTGTATCTGCTCTTGGCTGACCCAGCAAGGACAGGAAGGAACTGCCTGAATCCACTATTGCATAGAACTAACAGGATGCCACTGTTTTGGACTAAATTCTCATAAGGGGCCTCAGCAGACCAGACTGAAAAATCAAAATGGAGTCATCTATGCTCATGTAGAATGCTCCTCATTACAGAAAAATTGCCCTTCTGAGAAATTAGGAAAAAAGAAGAAGAAGAAGAAGAAGGAGAAGGAGAAGGAGAAGGAGAAGGAGAAGGAGAAGGAGAAGGAGAAGAAGAAGAAGAAGAAGAAGAAGAAGAAGAAGAAGAAGAAGAAGAAGAAGAAGAAGAAGAAGAAGAAGAAGAAGAAGAGCCACATTCCCAGCCAGGCTAGTTTCCATTGCCATGATAGTGACGTGCTCTCCGCCCTAAGTCCTGTGGAGTCCCCTGGAGTTAACGACTGTCTTTTATTTTCTATTTCCCTGTGTACAGGGAAGGTAATTTGGAAGTGACTGGTCTACTTTGTACTGTTTCAACTCCCCCCATCTCCCTTCTCTGTCTATACAGCCAACCTCTTTGGTCACGCCCATCAGATTCTAGAATCAAGATAAAGTCAGTTAATATCTGCAAACTAAATGGCTTTGTTTAGTTTGTGACCTTGGCTTTCCTAACCATGTAGCCTGTTTCTGTTCATTGAAACCTCAAGACCTCTTCTTGCAGGGATGCAGATAAGCCTTACACATAAACCCTGGGGTCCTGTGTGCAGCCTTGTCTCTAGCCAGTGACTCTGGATTTGCCCTTTCCATAGCCTCTCCCTGGACCACTGTCTCCCCAACGCAGTCAATACAGCACTGCCAGCCTCTACATTGCTCTCATGTAACAGCTGGTGGCTCAGAAGCCTCACCTGTGATGATGATGATGATGATGATGATGCCAACATCATCAGGAATTCACCATCGCCACTATCCTGTTGTGCCTGAACTCTGCAGGCAGATGGCCAAGACTTAGGCATTTGGGAGTCACAAGGGTAGTGGGAAGACCCACTGGGTCAGAGTGTCCCATCACAAAGAGTTCAGGCTTTGAGAACAGACCTTGTAGCAGAAAGAGGTAGGCTATCCAGTTCCACTGTTTGCTGGGGCCTAGTGGGCCTCAGTGTCTGTATCTGTAGAATGGAGAACTAGCTCAGGCCTGACTTCTTTATAGTCCCATGGAGACATGTTAAAAGGCTTTGTTAATGGCAAGCAGATGTAACTTGGTTTTTCCAAAGAACCTTCTTTCCCTTTTCTATCTGCTTTTGGCCATCCCTTCTTCAGGTTCCTGAACTTTTTAGGAATAATTAATCTAGGAACTTCTGGCCACCTCAGCTGTACTGAGAAGAAATAAGGACAGACTGGGCCAGAAAGGGAAGGAGGGGCCCTGCTGAAGGAAGGCAGGGGTGGGAACGGGTCAGTTCAGGCTGGGAGATTCCTCTCCATGATTTGGCTGCTGGCCCAGAAGATTCAAGCTGCTTCTCCACTGGCCTAGGGCAGGGTGGCCTTGCCCACGACCTTGGCTCCAAGCCTCTGTTGTCCCTTCCCAGCCCCCTCTCCAGGTCCTTGGCAGAGCTTCCTGGCCTCCAGACTCCTGGCCCAGAGACAGATGGGTTCCAGCTGTGCCTCTGCCCCAGCTGTGTGCCCCAGCTGTGTGCACAGGTAATGCAGGCATCTGCTCACAGCTTTAACCAATTAGGGGAAACATCACATCACTCGATTCATTTTTATCCTATCAAAAAGCATGCATCACAACATCTCAGTCAGCTCTTAGGGGAGTTTGGAGACAAGAGCTGCATCCCACCCAGCTCCTGCTCCCATAGGGAATAAGACAGGCTATAAATGGATGAAAACATTTCTCCAGCCTGAATTCCAGAGGGCCAGGGGTACTGAGGAGAGAGGAGGGACAGTCAGGCAGAGAGGGAGAAAAGCACTCAGAAAAAACTGGAAGTGGAATGTCAGAAAGGGCCCAGGATTCAGGACACTGGCTCTAGGGGCAGAAGGGACCAGTCCAGGATGGAGAGCCTCCCTCTCTATCTCAGGAAGAGCTAGGCTCAAAGGCCCAGGGAAACCGTGCCTCTAGCTACATGGAGGAAACCTGCAGACAGAAAGCATAGCCACCTTTTTCACAGGAGACCCAAAGTGGATCAGGTGGGGCAGTGTGGCCACAGGCAGATGGCAACTTCTTTGTCGCTGTTTCTCCACCTATAGGATGGAAGTATCACAGCATCTGTCCCCAGGGCTGACAGTGAAGCCTGGGTTATTTTCTGCATGCGTGGGTGGTTTACTACACACACTAGATTATCTGTTGTGTGATGTACTGCATGTGTTATCTGATTTATCACACAGATGTCTCATAAAATCCAGCAATCCTAAAACAAACAACGTTTTCCCCAGTGTTCTCTTGAGGTTCAGAGCATAGTCTTGGGATGCTACTCTTTGGGTATAGAAGGTGTATATGTATGTTTCTGGGGTTTTTTTTGTTATATTTATTATATTTTAATTTATTGTGTGTGCATGTGAATTTGTATGGGTATGTTTATGTGGGAGCATGTGAGTGCCGTGGCATGCATGTAGGCCCCGGGGATCAAACTCAGATCATCAGGTTTGGTAGCAAGCTCCTCTATTTGCTGAGCCATCTCGCTAGCCCTATTTGTTTGCTTTTTTTCATTTTTGCACACAAGGCCTCACTATGTAGCCTGGGCTTGTCTTGAAGTCAAGGTGATCCTCCTGCCTCATTCTCCCTAATGCTAGGATTACAGATGTGAGTCGACAGACTCAGCTCAACATCCTGGCTGGTAAAATCTTAGCCAGCATGAATATCAGTTTCTAGATTATATTTCTGATATACATGTATATTATATGATATTGCCCTGGCAGGGCCTGGGAGCAGAGGATGTGAGATCTCTCTGTGCGTGAATGGGCAACCTTCTCAAAAAACAAGTACTATTTTTACTGAGAAAGGAAGCCCATACTCTCATCTGCCTGCATCTGTACAGACCACCTTTCAGAGGATGCCGGGAGTACCTAGAGAGGCCTGTTTGTGTGTATGTGTGTGTGTGGGGGGGGTATGGCTTGGTTCTTACTAAATAGTCTTTTGTAGCTGGCATGTTAAACTGTAACACATACAATGCTGCTATAAACTAATATTTCATTCAGAAAAAATTCAAATGCTTGCAGCCCCAGCATTCCAGCATGCCAGGGAGGCTGGCTATAGAAGAGGGAACTGAGACTCCAAGGTAAAGTTTATCTAGACAAGGACCCAGCTCAACTGACTGCAGACCAGAGCTTTGTAGGTGACTCACCTTTTTCACACAGCAAACAAAAGGGGAGTACCAAAGGGCAGGTATGGCCAGCTCCATAGTGTCCCCTGGAAGTGTCCTTCCCACCTACACAAGCTGAGTCAGAACGGTATGCTTTCAGTTGTCCTAATACAGGCCCATCGCCCTGGAGTCAGGAGGCCTGGGTCCTAGTCCCAAGTGTGAGCCTTCTTGCTGTATAGTTCTGAGTCAGACCATTTCCAAGCTTGAGCACCCATCATGGGAGGCCTCATTGAAACAAGGTCAGGGCCTGTTCCTAGAGTTTCCGACCCAAGAGACTGGGGAAGACTCAAGTATTACCTTTTAGCAAGTTCCCAGGAACTAGAGAGGAAGCTGGCCCAGAGACCCCTGCCTTATCTCTAAGCTTCTTGCTTCCAAAGCTGGCAAGGAATGATTCATGATAGTGAGTTCCTCCAACTCTGCCCAGAAGCCTGGGAGATGGGTTTTGCTTCTAAATTTGGATCTGGACAGTGGGGACAGAGGTGGGTAGGCTACAGAAATGAGGCCCTTTATAGAAGAGGCATGTGGTCTACACCAGCACCCTAGGTGCAGGCAGCCCGTTGGCCAGCAGGGGGCTCCTGGGCACCTCTAACAGGGCCAAGCCTGGCATCAGGGCAGCTGCCCTTGCCCTTAATACCCTTACACTTTTGATGAATGAATTTAACTGAGATGGTGAGGTCTAGGCCCCCTTTCCCATCAACTCTCACAACTTTTCTACATGACAGATAGTCATTAACACAGACAGTGCCTGGCACAGAGGACAGAGATTCAGGAGACCAATGTGTTCACAGTGCACTCATTCCAATAGCACCCCTGCACTGGATGTTTTGGGGTGTTAACTTGACAAAAGCTAGAGTCATCAGAGAGGAAGGAGCCTCAGCTGAGGAAATGCCTTCATGAGCTCCAGCTGTAAGGTATTTTCTCATTTAGTAATCACCGAGGGAGGGTCCAGCCATGATGGGTGGTGCCATCTCTGGGCAGGTGGTCCTGGGTTCTATAAGAAAGGAGGCTGACCAGGCCAGGGGAAGCAAGCCAGTGGGCAGCACCCATCCTTGGATTGCCTCTGTACCAGCTCCTGTCTCCAGGATCCTGCCTGTTTAAGTTCCTGTCCCAGTTTCCTTAGGCGAATCCCCTTCCTCCCCAACTTTCTTTTAGTCAGTGTACCATAGAAGTAATAGAAACCCCAATTAAGACAACCCCCTCTATCCCATTACAAGTGCCCTATTCTCTCCCCCTATCTCCCGTACCCCATTACCTAGCTCCCACGATGAGCTGGTTCCTGGAGGGATCAAGAGCAAGCTGGGAGAAATCCTGGACTCCAGGATAGGTGAAGTTGGAGACCCACGGCTTCAGATCTGGTGAGAGAGACCTTCTGTTACTGTTGGAAGCTTCCAGCTTCGCAGTATCAACCCAGAGAAGATCAGTGACAGCAGGAATGCAGTAGGGTTGAAGCCCCCAGCAGACCTGGGTTTCACCTGCCCACGTCTTCCAGCAGCCAGCCTGTGACCTCAGGGACTAGAACATTATCACCATTGTTGTCTCTGGGGGAGGACTCTACCCCGCACAAAGAAAAACCTGTAATCTCCTTTCTTCCCCCAGACACCCTGAGCAGCCCCCTCAATACACATCCCGTTTGCTCTTCCTGCAGGTTCCAGGCTCTACTCCCCTCTTTTCACCCCAGTGTAAGCCACCATCCTTTTTTTGCCTAGATTGGTGCTGATAGCCTCCTAACTCACCTGCCTCCCGCACCTTTCCTTCTGGTTCGCTTCCCACAGGGCAACTAGAGTGATGTTTCTGCATAGCTATACCAGCCTCAGGTTTAGATCCCTTCCTGGCAACCCCAAATATGTCTCAACCCCTGTTACCTTTGGGTTCTGGCTACACTGACTTCCCAAGCTGACTGCCTGGCATTCATTATTTACCCATTGAACGACCAGTTAACATTTGCTCAAACTCTTCACCCCACCCACGCTAATCTAAAACATCTCATACTTGCCCAATCCATCCCATGGAGCCCACAAATCTCTGTACCCTGTGGTTCCTTTAGTGATACAGGTCTGCCAGCCCCATCTCCACACTTCTAAGACTTTCCTGACTCCACCCAGTAGGATCGAAGTGACCCTACAGGCTCTGCTACCTGACATCATTATTTCACTGTAGTGTGTATTCAGCCTGGCGGTCTGCCTTGGCTCCAGATAAGACCTTGTGGCCAGAATCTCCAGTCCCCACCCTTATAACATTGTTTAAACATGTGAATGAATACTCCTCAACTCCTCCTATAAAAGGATCAGGCTTTCGGAGAAGATAGCATGGAGGTGGGGGTCAGCGTCTACCTCTGTCTTTGAGAGCACTCTTCCTAGTCTAGGCCAAAGCCTTTCATGGGGACTGGAGGCAGGGCAAGAACAGGCCTCATGGGCTAGTTGATGGTTGGAAGCCCACTGACTTTTCCTCAGTCCCCTCCTGGAGACCCACTGCTCCCAGGTTGCCCCATAGTACAGGAACTTCTCTTGCTTGACCCACGCTGGGGGGAGGGGAGGATGCTAATGGGGAAGCCCCACGCTTCTTTCTCCCTACTATGAGCAATTGTCACACAACATCCGAGAGAGAGAGAGAGAGAGAGAGAGATCCAAGGGTTATAAATCATTGCTCATTATCCCTCCACTACAGAGTAAAAACGGCCCTTCATTTCTGCACGACAGGCAAACACTTAATCACTCCCGAGAGAGCCAGAGGTTTTACAAGTTGGATGTTTTTCAGAAAACTGTGATATGCACGATAAAGAGAGAGAGAGAGAGAAGGAAGAAATCCTGCAACAAAATGAAGTGAACCCTTTAAGCCCCAGCAGGTGGCTATGTGTTGGCAAGAATTGTCACACAGTCTCATGGCATCTGGGCAATGAGACAGGTAGAATTTAAAGTCCAAGGGGACTAGTTTTCAGCTCACCCAGGGCCCCAGGAAGTTCTGGTAGAGACTAGATGGAGTGTTCATCTCCCCCAGGAAGACCTCCTTGGTTAGACTGACTCCACATCCTCTTCACCCTCACTGTTTGATTCACTCTGCACAGGTGTGCCTCCCCAGACCAGGTGGCCCCTAACAGTAGCAAACAGGTTGTCCTTTAACTCTCCACTTATCCATGGTGGTCGGGGCATTTCAGGTGCAGGAAGCAGACTAGGAATGACTGCTCTGTCTCAGATACTGCCTGAGGGCTAGTTGAGTCTCCTTTCAGATCTGTCCTCGGTGGGGAGAGGCAAGGAGGAAACAGTCTGGACTTCGATGACAGTAAAGAGGTGAAAGAGGCACCCTCTTTCAGTTGGTGTCCCTCTCCCCCAGCCCTGAAGGAACTCACACCGTCAAGGGGAGGGGGCCATGGCTGGGCACAGTGCCACGATCCCGGGGAGGCCTTGGGAAGACAGCCAGCCTCCTCTTATTAAACAGGCAAAGGGGACCAGAGGGAAGGCTTTAAAACACCAAGCACGTTCTGAGCTCCGAGTACAGCAGAGGCTTTGGACGGTGACTTTAAGAGAAAAATGACATTCTCCATGACGCGCCTGTGATTTTAATTATAGTCAATTCAATTACCCACTTTGTGGATTAACCACCGCCAGTGTTAACTTCAGGCTGGCTTCTCCCTGCCATCTAGAAAGTGCATGCTGTGGCAAATAGAATAATACGCAGGCCAAAGAGAAGCCCAGGTGGGCCTCCTTAAAAGGAACCCACAGGAGGAAATTGAACCGTATAAAACAAAACACTGCCAGTCTGCTTCTGCAACTGTCTGATGCTTGTGGATGCTTGGGGGTTATTCACAGATCTGTCAGGTGTCTGGGGAGAAAAGGCAGCTCAGCTGCAAGGTGGGAGGCCTGTGGCTGCCTCAGACACACAGCACAAGGGCTGGGGTCTTGGAAGTGGTTGGTGCTGAGCTGGATTAAGACAACTTCCCTGGAACAGCTCCTGACCCATGGGACCTACTGTGTGCCTAGCATACTACAAATGTGAGGAGACCCAGGAAACAGAGCTGCTCAAGGCTCAGCTGGGTGGGTGGAACAGAGGCACTGACCTTTGATGAATAATCAGAGATTACTGAGCACCGAAGGAAACATGTGCTTGTCTCTGAGGCCCTAAGGCAACTATTTCATGCCTGGCACCAAGCAAGGTCATTAAAATATGTTGCACCTGCCATGCATGAGTCCCTAGCCCCGGTCCCTAGGAAAACACACATACAAATGCATATAAGCATAGTCATTCAAACACACACACACACACACACACACACACACACACACACACACACACACACACACACACGGAATAATTTTGTGAATGGATTTGACAACCCAAAGCTGTCAGGATAATGGTGATATGGCAGAGTCCCTGATTCTGTAAGAGGGTGGGGTGGATACTCAGGCTCACTCAATTCCCACATAATGGCTAAAATTACTCCTTGGAAACCCAGGAACTCAGAGCCCTTCTCCATTTTTCCTATCCCCACTTCAGCCCTGTGCCCCATACAGACCAGATGACAAGGGAGAGGGGGTCAGCTGGACCCCTAGCATCTGGGCAAAGCCCCTGACAGGAGATGCTGCATTAAGAGCTGTCGCAGGCACCTCCTGGCACAGCAACAGCCCTAGGAATGATGCTTCTTCCGTCCCTGCAGCCTCACTTGATCCTTCCCTTCAGAGCCACCAGGAGCCATCAGAAGTCTGAGCGTGTGTGCACGTTTTGTACACTAAAGACATTGCTAATTTACTATAATCCACTTAAGCCTGCAAAGCCAGGATCCTAGCTCAAACAAGTCAGTGTGGAGAGACAGCTGGAAGTTTTCCTCTCAGAGAAGGGAGCTAGCATGCAGCTGGGAGCCTGTACACCTGGAACACCCCTAGCCTCTCCTCCCATCCACAAACCACCCCTATCCCACCCCTCAAATCCCACCCCAGCCTGGGACTCAGTGACTGATTCTCCACTCTGGTTTCCATACTGCCTCCTCCACATGGAAGGACAGGTCTTGTGATGCTGAGCAACTGATGGCTTTTCAATGGTGGTGACAGCAGGAGACTGACCTTGAGGCCTGGCTCTGACAAGCCCCTGTAGGCCCCCGGCCTGGATTTTTTTGCCCACCCTTCCCCATAAGGGTTAGTACAAGGAGTGGCCAAGCCACTGCTGGTCACTATTAAGAACCAGGGTGTCATCTGGTCTTCAGGTCTCCGTATGAGCTGCCATGTAGGCAGTCCCCAGAGTACGAGTGTGATCAGGGACACTGAGATGACACTCATGGAAGATCATCCAGGCCTTTCCAGGATTTGTGTTTTATTTTTTAGTTATCATCAGATTTAGCTGTCCTAATTTTAGAAATTCTGGAGAACTTATGGACCCCCTGGAATATATCCAGGGATGTGCACATCCAAGATTGGGAAACCCTTTAATAGGACACTCCCACGCTCTCCCTTGACAAGCTGAGGAGTTATGAGTCACCAGGGCCCCTTCTGCTGGGGGTTCCCAGGACTCTAAAGACAGGCATCCCTGCAGCCAGCTTAGAGCAAGAAAGACGTCCCCCAGAGATCTTCTAGGCTCTTCCTCTGGAGTGAGCCATCTCCCTCCTGCCCTCGGAGAAGCCAAGACAAGCCTGAGAACCTCCAGAGTTGAGACCACCAACCAAATCAGAGTCACTTCCAGTGGAGCGTCCATTAACTTTATCATCTATCCAAAGATCCCACTGAAAGACAATAACTGCTCTGGGCTAGGCATGGGTGAAGGGCCTGAGTAATATTATCTAAGTTATCTGGAGAAACCAGAGCTCTCCAACCCACTGCTGCCAAGCCTTAAGACGGCCACCAGAGAAAGGGTCTCAGAGCCTATTAGGAAGGGCTTCAGACAACCTGGAAGACTGTCCTAAGGACTGACCCAAGTCCTTCAGGACAAGGTGGGGCAATCTCACCTTCAAAGGCCACAATTGGGTGCTCCTTCCGGGCACACAGCTGCTGTTCACTGCTGAGCTCACTGGAGATGTCCTGGGAGCTGCAGAGGTGGGACACCAGCAGGGTGAGGCTGGGCAGCAACAGCGAGACAGCCAGGGGTCCTGGGACAACCATGGTGGCCCCTCTGCGCTCTTAGCTCCTGGAGGCAGGCCTGGGGAAAGACCTGAATGAAAAACTCGATCTCATCAGTGCCCCTTCCATCGATGCCCACTCCGCTCTGCTTCCTCGGGTTGTCAACGGCCCCAGGGTTCTTAAAAATAAATTCATATTGTATTTATGTTACTCAGCTCTAATAATGCAAAGTTATAGATCATATCTTGAAAGCTAATTTCCCTTGTAATGGTATTCTGGACAAAATTGACAAATTATAAAGCCTTTTCTATTATGATTCCAAACACTTTAAAATTAGCTTTAATGATAAAGGTGGGATCCATTTACTAAATGGAACTAGGGCAGTGGGCAGTCATGTGTAGAAAGGAAAGCTCAGATTCAAGTTCATTTTTTAAATAATTTTATTTTATGTGCATTGATGTGAAGGTGTCAGGTCCCCTGGAATTGGAGTTACAGACAATTGTGAGCTCCCATGTGGGTGCTGGGGATTGAACCTGGGTCCCCTGGAAGAGCAGGCAGCCCTCCTAACTGCTGAGTCATTTCTCCAGTCCCTCAAGTCTAATTTTGGCCTCATATTTTATGCCAGGAAAATTTCAAATTTAATTCAAGATTTGAATGTTAAGGGTAAAATCATGAAAATACTAGAAGAAAATCTGAACGAATTCATCAGGCCTTGGAGTGAAAAACTACAACAAAATCCAGGCATCAATAAAGAAAATCTTGACAAATTTGATGTCACTCAAAGTGTAAACATTTGAATGAAAGTGTAAACCCCTTGCCACTAAAGATAACATCAAAAGGCAGATGACAAAAGGTAGCCATCTTTTGTGTGGTGCACATCTACAATTCCAGGAGACTGAGGCAAGAGGATTGAAGATTTGTGTTCACTCTGGACCACACGGTGAGATCTTCTAAGGTTCTAAGAGTGGGATGCAGGGATGAGTGGCTCAGTGTGTAAAGTGCTTGGAGACCTGAGCTGGATCCCAAGCCCACCCCCCAAAGAAAAGCCAAGGCCTTGTATTCCTCCTGTTGAGGCAACAGACAGGCAGCTCCCTGGGGCTTGCAGGCTAGCCAACATAATCCACTTGGGAAGTTCTAGGCCAAATGAAACACTCTGAAAAGACAAGGTGGACAGCTCCTAAGAAATGACACCAAGATCTCTGGCCTCTATACACAAGAACCTGAATGGTCATGCATTCACATGAACACACACAAGGCAGATGACAAACTTGAAGAAAAAACTGTGGTTCTGGTAACAGACAAGGAGATGATATTCCTAAATATGCAAACAACTCCTAGGAATTAAGGAGAAAATGACCAATAACCCAGTAGAAAAACGGATAAAGGATATAAATCCAAACAGGGCTTAAAAGCTGATTGACACTCTTTCTCACACTCCCAAAGAAATACAAATTAACACTTAGCCTGGCATAGCAATTCTCCCCTGTCAGCAAAGAGTCAGGCAGCTCTCCCTCCTGAAGAGGCTGTGAGGAAATGATGCATCCTGTTTTATTCTACTGGTGTGTGTCAAATGGCACAGCCCCTCTGGAGGGGAACCTGTTTAAGTCGCAAAAGAGCCTCCATATTTACCCACTGACCACTAACCTAATATGGGATCCTAGGCTTGATGTCCTCAAAGTGAGATAGATCCATGGATCAGCATTGAGTCTCACATAGCAACGTCTCTGTGGTAAGACAGATGCAGACATTTAAAAGTCAGTGTTTAAAATCCCAAATACAATTTGAGTAATTTTTATGGACATTGATTCTAATAATCAAATGTCTGGGAGTGTTGCTCAGTGGTAGAGTTATAGCATTCATGTGCAAGGCCTTGGCTCCCTCCTCAGCACCATAAAACAAAGAAAAGACAAAGTCATTTAGGCTTGTATTTTTCATGTTGCTTTTCAATTCATTTCTCTAGTAATTTACTGTTATTGAATTGTAGGTAAGCATCCATCTGCAACAGATTGTAAATTGAGAAGTCAAACCTGCTCCCTTGCAACATATAGTTGAGAAGTGACAATAGACCACAGAGGCATCTGTATGAGCATAAAGTGAGCTGTGTATAAGATAATTCTCTGTGACAGTCTGAGAAACAACAAAAGGAAAAGAAGGAGAAGAAGAAGCAAATAGCTAGAAGTAGAAGCTGTTTAAACAAGCTACTGTGTGTCTGCAGTGGAGTACTATACAGCTGTAGAAGAGGGTGAAATGAAAGACTGTGAAATGAAATCAAAGAAAGGGAAATGAATTAGGTTGGACCGCTGACCAGGAAGGCAGCAGGTTAGCATCACTTCCCCTGGGCAAAGCTGGGACTCTAGGTGAGGGATCCCAAAGGTGAGAGTTGTAGGAAAGAGGTTCCTGGGCTCCTTCTGCCCTGGGACCTTTGCTCCCAGCCCAGGTAGGATGATATCCTTCCTGCCTATTTGCAGACACAGATAAATGGAGTGCATCCTGGTTGAACTGTGGCCAGGTTGGAGGGAAACAGCACACTGACAGATTCAGGAGGGGCCTGCTGGTAAGGCTCATCCCATACCCCAGGGAGAATTGGCTCCCATAGTCCTTCTAGATCCCCTCACCCTCAGATACACACAGATACAACCTCTTAGCTTCCAGCAGAGACCCTGGGGAAGGAAGATGTTCTCCATCTTTCCTCACACACTCGCATGACATTGTCCTCAGTGCTAGACCAGGTAAGTTTCCAGCTGTGTGCAGGTCAGCACGGTCCCATCTTTGGTTCGTGCTGTACCCATCCCTCAGCACTTGCAACAGGCCACAGGAAGCAAAAATTGTGTGGAGAAGAGGAAAAAAAACAATAACTTAACCCCTCTCTGCCTTGGTTTTCCCAAATTGGGAATTGCTGTGACAATATCAGCGTTACCAGCAATTGTGAGGACTAACGAGTCAGCATTTATTTAAGGCCTGGTGGGAACACAGCTAACAGCAAGCTGTCAACCAGCATGATGAGGGTGTTTTGAGGAGGGATGACACCAGAGAACCCTGTTTGGCCTCTGACACTGTCGTGATACCTTTGGCTGGCACCTCCAAGCCTAGGTCTTCCTCCATACTACCCCTTTTTCCTCCATGTACACAGCAGGCTCTGTAGGGACTCCATCCCGCCTTCCCTTCCTCCGTGTGGGTCTGGCCAAGGTGCAAGGAGAAAGCAGTGTGTGTTCCTGCATCCTCCCTTCCCTCCCTCTCACCCACTCCTGCCACCCAGGCCAGGGCAACCACCCTATTCCTCTGCCTCTGGGCTTCTGAAACATGCTGCCCCCTCCCATCAGAACCAAAGTGGCACCACAACCTTCGCTAAGGGTCACAGGGAGCTGCACAGTGAGTACCCCCTGACCCACCCCCAAGCATCTTCCCACACCTCAGCAAACAGTGGCTTTACTAAGATACCATCTCTGGTGTCACCTGTTTTCAGAGGTGGGGAGATTGACTAATTAAAGATACCCAGTCCACAGTCCAAACACATTTTCTCCCATCAACTCGTAAGGCCATCTAAGACAGCATGGCCAGGCCATCCTCATGCCCCCTTGTTAGGGTCTGACTGTGAAATCTCCCATCTCCATCACTTCTTCCCACCTGACTTATAGACAGTGCTCTGCCAGCCACCTGGAGCCACCTTCAGCTGTTTAGCCCCTTTTGGCCTCATGCTAAGGAGGGTGGTACTGGGAGACAAAGCACCCCCCCCCCATCTCCAGGTCTCTTCCACAGGTCTGAATCTTTTTGTTTCTTTAGTTATTTGTTCTGGGGGTGAAACCCAGGACCCCATGCGTGCTCTGCACCTGCTCTGCCCTGACCTGGCATTTCTGTGTCTCTTGCTTCCTTACCTGTCCAACGGGGAAAGATGAAATCTAGCCCTCAGAACTGTTACAAATGTTACAAAAGTGCCATCCAATGGGCACTTGCTACAAGTTAAGTACTGTTTAAGTGGCAAGTTTTCATAGTAGTGTTATTAGAGGTTATTATTAGAGATGACATTGTTCAAGAGCTTGCTTTCCAGGTCTCAATTAACATTAGATAAACACTATTACCTCTGAAACACAGTTAGGCTTCCTGTGCTTAAAATCCAAAGTTTCCATCGCAGGTAGGAATTTCCACTTCTAATATGCATCTGACCGATGATAAAACCATAGCAGAGATTTTCCAGCAGAGCAAGAGGCATCTAATTTTTCTGCAGGTTGCACAGCACTACGGAAAGCCCTGAGCTTGGAAAGCTGCCAGCTCTAGGCATGGATCTAAATTCATCTCTTGTAAATAAGGGTAAACATGCCTTGCTGTAGAGAGAATGCCTGAAGCACCAAGAACCAGGGCAGATCTCTTATGAAACACTAACACTTTAGAGCAGTGGTTCTCAACCTGTGGGTCCCAACCCCTTTGGGGTTGACAGACCCTTTCACAGGGGTGACATATCAGATATCCTGCATATCAGATATTTACATTATGAGTCATAACAGTAGCAAAGTTAGTGTTGTGAAGTAGTAATGAAAATAATTTATGGTTAAGGTTCACCACAACATGAGGAACTGTATTAAAGGGTTGCTGCATTAGGATGGTTTAGAACCTCTGGTCTAGAGCAATTGGCTAATTGCCATTTATGTACCAGGCATTCCGTTGAGTGTGATGGAACACCTACTATGTGCCAGGCTCTGTATGGTTGGATCATGAGGGTGAGAGAGGCTCACATCATACATGAAGGCCTATTATCTTCATGGAGAAAGGAGTGTGTCCCCCAAAGGCAGAGATAGTGACTGACTATGGCCTGACAGCTAGATGGAGCAGGGGACACAGAAGATGCTCTCTACCCTGTCTCTGGCTGCTTGCTGTACCTGCATGGTGTCCAGGAGAGCAGTGCTCTAGGACTGGGGGAATAGAGGTGCTGCAACATCTCCCTCCTTCTATTTGGGGGAAAACCCTGAGCCAGGAAGAAAGCATTTCCCCAGATTCTGGCCAGAGTCTCTCTTGCCTTTGCTCACACGGCTGCCCCAGTTTCCCATGGATGCTCTCTATTGGGTCATTCTGATGGTACCTGG